CGCGATCCTGTGCAACTTGGTGTAGGTGACCCTGCTTTGGCAGGGGGTTGGACTGGGGGATCTCCAGAGGGCCCTGCCAGCCCCCACCCGTCTGGGAGTCTGATTCAAACCACGGTTAACTGCAATAACCTGTAAGCACTGTACCAGCCAGAACGCAGGGCGGTCTTCTACTCCAAGGAACCGCTCCGTTCCGGTGGCAGTCGGCGTCAGCACCTCACAGCCCAGCTCAGACCCCCACGTGGGACACCCTCCTCTCCCCTGCCTCGGCCTGCGGTTTCAGCGCTGCAGAGACGCCCGCTGAGGCAGGCAGGGAGCCCAGGGCCAGCAGCGTGCCCGAGGCGGGGCAGGAGAAGCTTTTTTTTACAACGGCCCCACACCCTCTCCCCCCATCAGGCAACCCTGCTTCCCCCCAGCACCTCCGCAGGGGGATGTCGAGAGGGAGCCCAGCCCGGGCTGTGTCACAGGACAAAGGTTACTCGAGGGCCTCGGCTACTTGAGGTTAGAGGTCAAAGGTTACTTGAAGTCAGATTTCCAGAGTAAGCCTATCCAGCCTTTGCCATAGGATGGAGGTTACTGGAGGTCAAAGGTCACTTGCAGAGGACACAGGTTACTAGTCACCTCTCCTCTTTCATCCTCAGTACTAGAAAGGTTTTCTTTACAACCCAGTTAATAAAATTGGTGGCCAAATTCTCCAAAGGATTTAGAAACATCACTCCATCATATTAAAAAAAAATAAAATCAAAAAGAGATACAACTGAGAGACAGTTGTTACCATCAGGGACTATTACGCTCAATTTGGTCTGGCATCTCATTCCCCTAAGTCATCATTCGGGGTTAACAGTAACTGTGTGCTTGCCAGTAAAAGTTACCGTACTTCCAAATTGGAGTCCAAACTAGAAAAATTTCAATCTGAGTATAAAGTTTTTGGATCAAGTTTTTATTTGTCAGAACATAAAAGCATAAGGGAAAGTACTTAGAATAGTTGGGGGAAGAAAAAAGTCACAGTTACTTTTTTTCATCTAGCAGTATTTGAACTATCATGACAGACAGGATGTCAGTTTTTCTAAAATAAACAACATTGACCATTTCAAACATAACTTTCAAGTCATAATAAATCGAAAAAGCTAGCAGGTGCCTAATGCTAGTTAAGAGTGACAAGCAAAAAAAAACCACACACAAATCCTCCCTATAAACAACACAAAAAAGCAATTTGGAGTGTTGCTCTGCTGTAATAGCTCATCTTTTCAAGAGCCAGAACTTTCAAAATAGTTTCTTTTAAACCAAACATACTGAACTCTTGAAAATTCAGGTAGCTTCATCCAACAGTACGCAACCAAAACTTAAAGGCACAGTCGCTCAGCTTAGGCTATTTCAATGTTCTGTCAGCATAAATAGGTGCCAGAAAACAGGTTCTGAAACACAAGTCACTTCAGAACCAAATGCATTTTAGTGACACGCAAGTACATCTCTTGGTGAACGCAAAGAAAAAATTTGCTTTCTGAAGAATGTTGTTGCCATTTTCAGCTACCTGGCCATGGGTGACGTTTCAGAACATCAAGGTCCAAACACTACCCCAAGCACTTCGAAATAGCAATGAACTACGTTCAGGGTAATTCAGACTGGATCCCACAGATCAGCCCTAAAAGCACTCAAAATAATCCTACATCCTATTCAGGGTGATAGTAGAAGCACCATCATTAGCTGGCAATGTTAAATTAAGCGGTCAGGAAGGAAGACACTTTTTCATATGGGCTGAAACCACACTAAAAAGGAAGAAAAAAAATTGAGGGAAGACCTATTAGCCCTGCAATACTTGAGTATTTCACTGATGATCTGTAATTAGTTTGCTTTGTAAGACTTGCTTTTCTCATTAACTGCATTGAAAGCTTTTATGCAAGACAAAATAAATAGTTGTCTTCAAAGTCTCCAAAACAGCACCACTGGAAACTTTTTGTCTCCACACCACAATTACAATAGGCATGGCATCATAGCCTTTTTCTAATTAATAAATAAATAAATAAACTTCTTGGAGTGTCCATGGGGGCCATTGATCTGCTGGGAGAAGCCCACTGCCCTGACAAGCCTCTCGTCGCTCTGCCCAGCACACCCGTGCTGCTGCGAGTCATGTCAAACCCAGCCTAACACCAGCTCACGACAACAAAGTCGGGAATCAAAGGTTCTGACCATTTCCTCCTCATCTAACCGAAGGGAAACACACTCACTCCATCAGCTTGGGAAATAAACACAGCTACCAGGATGTAAACACGGCTGGGATTTTTTTTACCAGCCGCACCGCAAAGCGCCTGCATACACACAGGCTACAGTTTCACACGGTCGTGCCTTCACCACAGCACAAACTGACTTGGGGGCCCGTAACTTACTTCCATCCTTTCCAAAATAACACTTGTCTGAAGCCAAAGGACTCAAGAGAAAAGCCAGAAATCAGGTTTTCTAACTGTTTTTTTTTAATAAACTATAGAAGAACAAGATAACATTTCAACCAAAGTCATGACAGCTGCATGCTTAAAAGCAGATACATACACATCTCTGGATTTTTCCGTTTTCAGAAAAAAAAAGAAAAACAGTCATGTGAAAGCTGAACATAATGCATAGATTTCCATACATATTCAAATAATAGCAGACTAAAGCAAGCAGTAACACAATTGGAAAAAATGTTCTAACAGCTATTCGAGATCTATGAAATTTTAAAAAGGAAATTTCAGGAGTCTTTATGCTGAACTAAGTTACATTTTTATACAGCATTAAAATAAGTTTTATAAATTGAGGCAGTAGAAACTTAGTTACACAATAGTTCAAATGCATCTAATGTGCAAACTGAAAAGCCTACAGGCCATAGTGTACTAGAAATTTAGAACTGAAAAGACTACATTAGACTTGCACTTGCTCACATTGACACAGTGAAATTAGTGGAAAACTACTGTTTTTCCAGTTAGAGTAAAATCAGGTTCCGATTGTTGGTTCCAAACAGTTATCGTCCTAGCTTTTTTCTCATTGTCCTCACTTGCCTCTTACGTATTCTCATCATGGGAATAAAACTGGAGAGGTTGCTGTGCCATTCCTACTAAGAAATGCAAGACACCCATCCTCGTGCACCGTTGTATCAACAGTGCTGTATTCCCTGACTTCATCCTGTTCGCCTGCACCACTGAGCTTCTACATGGTTAATAAATGTGTTTAGAATTAGACACTCATGTTCTACGAGGAATGCTTATTTTTACCTTTTGATCTGCATTTTTTACAGGGGTCAGGGAGTATTAAAGACAAGTAATCTTCACAAAGTAATCAGAGCGATCGCAGAGCAAGAAGAACGTGAGACAGAAAGGAAGGAGCTGATGTGGATATGTATGCTGCTTTCTTTACGAAGAGGAGTATTCAAGATCCAGTGAGGTTTCCATCCAGATGCTACAATAACTGGCACCCTCTAAACCCCTACATTAAAATATACCTCGATATTTTAATCAGGCACTTCAATAGAAAAACAAAGCAGTAACATTTAACATGGGTATTGTGAGAGCTATTCTGTAAGGCCAGAACATCTTGTACGAAGCACTCCAGAAATTAACTGTCCCACAGAACCAAGTCACTCACATCAAGGGCTAAAGGAACAGAGAGTCTCTCACCAGACAACACATTTAAAGAAAAAAAAAAGACTGAAAGATAGTTAGTAAATATTTGGTAGAAGCCATTAACCATGAACTTACATTCTTCACCATCTAATGCAAAATGTAGTGCAAGGTTATTAATCCCTTGAGAAGATGGATCCAAAAGTAAACATTCAATGTGCTTTAATTTTCAAGATAATTAATTTTTTTTCTGCCAAAAAAAGTTTCTCCATCGATAACAAGCTCCCTGAGGGAATACATTAATTTTTTTCAAGGGAAAAAAAAACAATCATTTAAAAACATAATCTGAAAAGCTCCAACAATCAATAGTTGCCCTATTTTGAGCCTTAACACACTTCTGATCAATATTTCTTTGGAAAACGTGGGTTAGACCAACCAGTCACTGGTCCTGTAGGAGGGACCCTGATCTCCCTTCTTTTAAGTAGTATGCTGGAGATGAGAGTAACCATTCTTTTAAAATGTTAATGAACATATTTTAGTCCAACACACTCCAAAGTCACAGGAAAATTCTACCTGCAAGACTTCATCTACCAACATTTAAATGGTTAATTATAGATTCTGTCACAAAAATATAGAATCAAGGAAAAGAGGTGGAAATTCAGTTGTAAGGCTAAACACTGGAGAAGTTCTCTTTACGTTACGCAAGTCAAGGGACAAATGAAACAATCTACAGACACACAATACACATTTTTGTAGTAATGAGAATGCCAAGTTTTTAAACCATTCTCAAGTAATTTATTTTTTTACTGACGATTTACAAGGCCTTGATTATTAGACAAAATAGCATATTTTAACTAAACTCAAAAAAATACAAACCAATAGAGTTTAGAAGGAAATGCTATATGGTTCCATAGAGTATCTCACACCCATTGCACGCATCGCTTCATTTTTCTCATCTGAACCCATTCGTTACTTACAGGATTTTTGCCAGGAAATATTTTCGTCTAGCCAACATGTAGTGTACAGTTTCAGACCACTGAATTAGGCGCTAATTCTGGCATTAGTCTACAGCCTAAACCACTGCAGCAGATCTTTCAAAGTGTTTAGTGTAATCAAGAACTGATCCAGACATTTTTGAGCAGTTAACAATAAACAGGAGTTATAGACTGCATCCAGTTCAGTATGGTACATTAACTGAAGCTAAAAGTTTTAGTATGCTTATTGCCAATTTCTCCCAAATTTTAACAAGCAGAGCTTCTTTGCAGGTGCATTATTGCTGAGGGTAATAAGGCTGTTGAGGAAAAGGGTATCCAGGTTGTTGAGGTGCCGGATACGGTGCTTGTCCAGGGTTTTGATACACAGGTGAGGGTGCGTATGGCAGATTATATTGGCCATACATGTATGTGTTATAGCCCATCGGCATTGGCATCGGGCAATACCTGTGTAGGGGGAGAAAAAAGCATACTTTAGCTGCAAAGCACTGATGTTAATTTGCAAATATCAACTCATTAATAGATAGAAAGAGACATGCAATCACCACCAACGCTTTCCTTTCATTTTCCCTTTTGTGCAGCAGAAAGCGTGGTAACTTTCAAGGACCAAACTTGAAAAAAATTCACAACACTCAGAACAGAAATGTAGACAGAAGGTGGAGTAAAGGCAACTTGCTGGAACTAGAACTGATCTAAATTGATTCTCATGTTTAATATCATTGTACATATTTTAACATTTGCTGAGCCTGCTACTGAAGGAGAGAGCAGCTGCCTTCAATTCTTCGTGATGACTCCAGAAAGATGGAAAAGAGCATCAGAAGAAAGCACACTACTCAACTGGAATTTTTTCTGTATTTTTCACTATGTTTAGCAAGATACCAAGATTTGAAAAACGAGATATGCCAACACTTTCAAGATAAACACCACCAACTGATTACGCAAGGGCCGGCAGTAGTCCACAAACCACAGTTAAGGAACTGCAGTCCTGTCTCCCTACAAAAAACTTAAAATGAATCCTCCCACAAATGGTGCCAGCAAACGATTCCAGCAATTACATGATTAAAACAAAAAAATCATCTTGCCTCAAACACTAAACACATCTTCAGTTCTCATAACTGAATTAAAAACGTCGCACGCAACAAACAAGTGCTTTTAGACAAGAACAACTGCTTAAGTACTCCCACAGCTTACCCTGGGTAACCTGGATAAGTTGGGTAAGGAGGTCCCTGTGCCTGTGAAGGTGCAGTGCTTGCTGCAGGGGCACTGGCTCCTGGGGCAGGAGCTGGAGCAGGAGCAGCAGCAGGAGCAGCAGCTGTTCCAGAAGGTGCTGACGCAGAAGATGAACTGCTTGCTGCAGAAATCACTGGTGGTGGTGGCCTTGCTGGTGGCTGTGGTTTAGTGCCCTAGCAAGAGAAAGTTAATTAAGCTGGAGCTTCTTTCTGGAAGTCTTGGAATCAAAAGCTGTGGTTGTATGATCACTTGATTTTTATTTTTGTTTCAAATGGACATTCTGTATTTAGTGTATACAGATAATGCTGCGAAGTATCTAGAAAGCAATAAGCTTTCCATTTCAAATCTATAAATTATGAACACCAGTAGTACATAATACACCTCTCTAAAGTCTCTAAAGACTTTGCCCTCTATTTCACTTCAGCACATTTCCAAATACACCAATATATTAAGGAGTGATATACACAAATTACAGATCAGTTTGGAGTTCCAAAATATGGACCGTCTATTTTCAGCCCACTAATTCCATAGCATATATTTACCACCATGGTTCTGGGTGCTGGAGTAGGAGTCGACGATGCAGCAGGCTTACTTCCTCCAGCTGATGTGGTCTGATATGTAGGCAGAGGAATAGAGGGAGCACTGGGTTCCCGAGCAATGCTTTGCTGCAAATCTCTGTTAAGAACAAACAAGCAAACATACAGCTTAGTTTAAGAATTGTTTGTTATACACTTCAGCAGGCGAATTTTAAAAAGATGCAGAATAAATCTGTTATTTAAAGCAGATCCCCGAGTCAGCTCAAACTAAATTTGAAGTCCAAATCACTTCCACAGAAACAACCCTCTGGCCAAGCCTCTGATCAACTGTTGCATTTATTTTCTAATAATGTCTTTAAGTTCCAACTCAATACTGGGTATAGATCATTGAATTAGCCAAAAGCTTTGGGATAAGAAATTATAGAATTGTCAGAACATTTAGCAACTTGGAAGCTTTCCTGAGAACCTAAGGAAACCTCAAGGCAATGGAAAAGCATAAAAGTAAAATTTCAGTCATTTTGATATGTAAAGAGATGCTCAAATACAGAAGAAAAGCAATGTTGTATTGCTTGTAGATTGCCCTAAATTAAATAATACTGCATGCAAATACCATACATCTAACAGAAATATTTAATAAAAAAAGTCCACTAGATAGTCTGCAATGTCATTTATATCTGGGTAAGCATAACGATCAAAAAAACCCTGAAAAGAATCTGATCGGCTCAGCACACAGCTTTCAAGTTCTCTATTCTGTTACCTCTAGTGTTGGAATTGTTCTCTGTAAGCAATGAGGCGGCTTCGGTGTCATGTTGTACTACAAGCTGCCATTAAACAGCATAATTTTACAGGCAGTTTGTCATGAAAACTCCAAGGAAGCAGTTCTACGTTACATATTCAGAGTAACGTAGTGCATTTCTCAATGCAAAGATTCAGTATTTGAGATTGGGCAGATCCTTCAGAGAGACTCTAGGAAGCATTTAAAATTTCAGACAATTTTGTGTAAAAGTGACAGGTGAGCAATATGTAGCAGCTCGAACTTGATACCTGGCATTCTGAAATAGAAGACGGGGAGACTGACAAATGAATACAGTCTAGTTAGCAAAAAACCACAGGCTCCTGTTATATACCACGCAATGGTGAGCTCCAAAGGAAGAGAACAAAACTGGTAACTTTTGCAGAAATTTGGTAGAAAAAAGACAACTGAAACAAAAACTCCCAGAAAACTACCCTCGCAGTTACCCCTGCAGTAAAACGGAATGATGGAGAAAAAGCTGGAAATACTGTCTCGATGCTCTGTTACATATGCATATGTATATCTCAAAGTATTTCTTGCTGATAGTGGAGTAACTATTCAACACTGTAGTATACTGAAGCTAACAAAACCAAAACTTAACGTCTTAAAAGATAACACAAGGGATGGAAGTAAAAATTTTCTTAAAAACATGCTGAAAAGACTAACAGCTTACAGAACAGCAGTACCATTCACAATGAAATAAATTTTGACCAAAGTGACCAAACGCATTAAAAGTGAAGCTTAAAACACTATTAATAATTGCCCACCGAAGGATCAGTTCTATGTAAGGGGAAAAAAAAAATCTCTAGTTCTAAATGAGAAACCACCTAAACAAATTTATTTTCACTAAGTGAAGATGCAGCTGACAGTCAATATTTCTATTGTAGTTAGAGGGGGGCAAGGGGAAAAACACACATTTTATTCAAACTGTGGGCTGGGTGCACTGAGAAAGACATTTTGTAGACATATATTATGGATATCCCAAATCTGATCATTGCTCCTAACCTTGACAGGGTTTCATGTCAGCAAACAGTTAACACACAAGGCAGTAAAAGATAGCATGGCAAGATCCAGCGGAATGCTATATGAGCACTAAACCTACAGCTTTAACACTGAACATTAACTTGTTGGAGATGTAAAATATTCAGACCTACGTCTCGGTTAGGCAGCCTACAGCTTCCAAACTGCACGAGCTTAGGAAGTGGACAAGAGGTGGAAGCAGTTGTATATAGTTACAAAGAATTAATTTACAAACACAATGCCCAAGTGAAAATGAACGGTTCTACAAAGGATGAAGTTAGGAAAGGTATAATTTGAGGCTGAGCATCCCATTCACAACATGGTACGGGCACAGTACAGCTGCAGTTTCACCAACTGAAACTTTAGTAACGACTAGCCCTCTTTGTAACACGCTACGTGCTTTGCTAAAGAATACCCATTAAAAGGCAAGCCTGTTCAGTTACGCTTTCCTCTTAAGAGGAGAGCCTAAAAATCACAGCCGAAGCACACTATACTATGCTGATCACATGTGGGGAGCAATGACAACACTCTCATTCACATGAAGGACAAAATCTGCTTCTCTCCCCAGCACTGTGGGCAACCCACATATCTGAACAATGATAAAATATCTGACCAGATCAGACAATGGAGCAGAGGTAGAATACCAACATTTTTCCCCCCACCACACTGGGCACATGGAAGGCAATCATATGCTGAAGCATTTATCTAATTTCTCCAACCAAAATGACAGCAGGGGCAAGGTGCAGAAATCAGAAGTTCCTCAAAGGAAAGAACAAAATGAAATTATTAACAAATGCATGCCAGAAAGAACCGAGAGTGAAATCACAATAAGATCAAACAGATTCATGCTGAACTGTATACAGGAACAGCAGAGCAGACTTCAAAGTAGATTTTTCCATTTATTTCTCCAATCACTTTCCTAGTTTTTCAGGGGAGGAGAGAGTGGGGTTAACATTAAGGCATAGAAGAGGTAATAGCCTTAACTATTCTTCCTTTCTCGTTTCATCAAGCACCATAAGAACTATGTTCCCAAAGGTTAATTTCTTATAAATACGTCACCATTTCTACAATGCTTAAACAAAATATTGAAATCTTACTTGAGCAGTTCATCTCTTTCAGTCTTGCGAGCAAAGACAATGTCACTGCATTTGTTTTGGAATGTCAGCAGGATTTCTGTCAGCTCGTTGTAAAACTAGTGAAGAAAAAATAAAAACCAAACCAACATGCTTAATCAATACTTTCAGACTCCATGCTACTTCTACATATGGATCCAGTTATAGGCGTCGTATTATTACAGTGCCCAGAACCTGCCATTCCAGTAAAGTTTGCTAGTGCATTTTATTCTGCTTTTCAAAAGCAAGTATTAGTCATCTGTTGTCCATTACTGTAATATCATACAATTTTGTGGGTTTTTTATATATGTATATGTGTGTGTGTAAATACAAAAATAGTTGAAGACAACTAGAAAATGAATTAAAACCAGAACAAAACTAGATCACTTCGGTGATTAACCATTTATTTTTTAATGAATAATTTTTTCTTTTTCTTTTAATTTTATTTCCTTCAGTCAGTTCCATGCAGTTCATTTGTATAGACATTTCAGAGTTTTATTTTCTTTTTTCCTCTAGCGAGTTATCAATAAACCAGCAAAAGTACTCAATACAGAAGCAGTAAGACACCTTCCAGAAGCCTAGATCAAAAAAAGCAAGCTAAATAAAGCCCTCCTCATCTTTCCTCACATATGCAGTAGCAGTATATAAAACACAAATTTGATAAGGTGATTAAATACCACGGGAGAACAGATGAAAGAATTCTTCAGATAAAATGGCTCATCTGGGTACTTCAGCATCAGTTACTCAGCTGTAATTAACAACTTTAACTATTTTAATATAAAGCAATGCTCACAAAAGTTTACTTTTCAGACAGGAACAAAGAAGCATTTCACAGCTGTCAAAACAATCAAAATTTGAGCAACTTGCTGTCCTCACTTCAGTAGTAAAATCCTCAAAAAATGTACCTCTCATCTAGCATGTCTGCAAAGTTTGTTATGATTTTTGATTCACATCTCATTGCGTAAATAAAATATAGTATGTTCTTCCAGTCCCTTAAGTGTTACCATACCTTCGTGCCTTCTTTTAAATTGGCTACAAGTTCCACGAAGTTATCATTTGCTACGGCTAAGTTCTTCAAAACTTCTTCTCTTAAATTAGATTCATTGTTTGATTGTTTCATCTTTGAAAAATCCTGATGTGCATTCTTAAAAGAAGGGAAAAAATAAGCAGTGAAAATAATGCAAGCTAGTCGCATGTCAGATTCTGTATGTTTTGGGGGTTTTCTTCCCCCCTCTTACTCAGTGCTTCTACCCCCTTTTCCCAATTCCCAATACCTCACCTTCCATCCACACATTGTACTTCCGACACTTGCTATCTGCCAAGTGCAGCGGCTATTTCAGAACTATACATGTATTAACTCACTGGCAGTAGGTACCAGTTAATTAGCTGTTCTGTTGTGGGATGCCTTCAGCTAATTCTCCAGCTCCTACTGCAGGTTCTTTTTCAGAGGCTATACTAATCATGCTCTCTCCTCTATTACCCTCCATTGCTACTTATAAAATCATACTGGAAGTTAGTATTTGTAAGAAGTGCTACCTCAAATTTGGTAGACATTGGCAAGCTATTAGAAGGACAGGGAAGTGGAAAACTTAGAGAAGGATCACCTACCTGCACGTCGTTTCTTTGGGGAAAATAAACAAACGAGCAAACTTAAGACTACTTCAGCTGCCAGAAACAGCCAAACTTGAACTCCAAGATATTCAAACATCAAAGTAACATCCATCAAGATTTTTAAAGCATAGTATATTAAAAGATACCAGAATATAAAAATCCTTGATCAACACGGGCCATATAGTCATTGAGAAACAATTTTTTCCCTTTCAGAAAAGTCTCCTCTTCTTGCAAACCAAGCTGCAGTCAGAAGTTGCAAGTAATCCTGTGCACAAACAGGCCCCACGGTTACTCAAGCCACTGTTGTCACTCATCCAAGCACTAAGACTTCCTCTTTTGCCAGACGTTTCACATACCTGTCTCTAGAGTTACTGACAAATTAAGGCTGAATTTATAAATAAGCTTTGGGAAACTAATGAGAGTTTTTACTTGATGAGCTTTGCACATGCTGGAAGTCAAGCACATTGTAAATAGTAATTAGGAATAAACCAAGATGTACTTCAGAGACCCAAATGTCTTCGAGTAGAGAGTAAGGACAGGTCTCCTGTTATGCCAGAAATAAAGTACTAAGATGGGATGAGGGGAAAAACCAAATCAAACCCAAAAACTTCTTCACACACCAGTTAAGCTTCTTTCAAGTGCAAAGCCGTCTACAGAAACGGGCCAAGAAAAGGTCCAAGAAAATTCACACTGGAGGTCTGGGAGAGTCTGCTGAAAATTCACACCTCTTTCCAGTGAACACAAAAAACCACCCTGTATTTTTCAGTGATCAGAGGAGTAAAGGAGTATGAACTGGCCTATGACAGAGTAACACGCAAAACAGAATAGAAAGCAAAGGGAGATTTCTAAAACACTGCAGAAGTAGAGGAATTATTGCTCCTTAGTTTAAGAGGAAGGAAGTCATACAAGGTGTTGTACCTGAATGTTTTTGAGAAGTTCTTCCTGCTTTTTTACGGACTCTTGCACTTTCTGTGTGTAACTTCCATAAATTCTGTCCAACTCGGCCACAGAGATAGCCTCCTCGTTTATAGCACCATCCTGTGCAAGTGCAGTCAGGAATTTGCTTGTCATGTCAAAATTTACAGATTTCAGATCATTTTCCAGTTGTTCTCTCTCCTTCTTAACTTCATCCAGATTGGCCAGCAAAGTTCTTAAGACATTAACAACCTATGCAATAAAAATTGTCAGAAGTTAGCATGTTTAGAAGAATTATTGCGGAAGTATACTCTACTACTTGTTTCCATCTCGCACTCCTCACAGATGCTGACAATGCTAGTGCATGACTGTTTGTTTATACATGTGTTTAAGATGACAAATCAGGACAAAATGCAACGAAACAAAGATCTTCATGCATTTCTCAAGCTATATTCTCCTCTAAAGATCTGCTTCCACTAATGCTGAATTATTACAAAGATTTTTAAGTTATTTTTTTTAAACTAATCAGATACCTTCCAATAGGATATTCTAAAAATGGCATTCAAAAACACTGACTTCAAATCACTCCTACGATCTGCTGTAGACAAGCCATGACTTTCTTGGAAAGTAAGCTGGAGTAACTGCCTAATACTTTAAAATACTGGGCCATGTCTTTTATATCGCCCAACTGTCCCAAGAACCTGAGCACTACACCCTACCACCCTGCGTAACAAAAATATTTATCAAGGATTGCTTCTTTTATAGTAGTCAACCAGCCTTCCTGTACATGGTGATTGAACTTACTCACACTATGTGTTACAAAATATACTCAAGCAGATTTTAAACAAAAAGATAACTTCTTTTCCAAATGTTAGTTACCTTCTGTATCAACTGTGACAGAAACAAGGGCAGCTAAGAATCAGCTTCCACATCAATTCATGTAAGTTTACTTTGTCAGAGGAATAGCACCTCTACTCAAATTAGAGACAAATTTCAATGCTTTACCTCATTTCCTTGTAATGTTTTTGCTGGGTTAGCAGAAGGAATGGCTGCATTGAGTTCTGACTCTGGCTTACACAGAAGTGCAATCGTATCCCGGTGAGTCTGATAGCGCTCTTTAACTTGGCCATCTGCTTGCACAGCTCTATTCAAAATATTATGGTAATTGGTTCCCTCTGGTGGTAAGAGGCAAAAAAGGGTGTTTATATCATTTCAAAACTTGTTTTATCCAAGTCTTGCACCAAAGCAGTTTTCTTGCTTTTCAGCAAGTCTTCATACATTTTTATAAGCTTGCACGTTATGAAGTTATTAAGACTTAGAAATAAAACTTAAGCTTCTAAGTTATGTTTTAAATAGTGTATAAACTAGGCACGTATATTACTTCTCTAGAGAAGCATACAAAAACATATGAATGAGCACTGGTTCGAGCTACTCCCCAGATTTAAACCCCGGTAACTTTACCAAACTAAGGCAGTGGTATCAGTCCCTTGTCACCTTCAACACAACACATATTAAGTGCACCAAAAAAATGCCGCGGTGATGACCCTAAGTAGTTTGACTAACTGCGGGGGGGTGCGGTGAATAAAAAAAACCAAAACCAAAAAACACCAAATCAAAAGAGAAAAGAACACCTTGATGGGAAATTAAAAAGAAAATCAATATACAGTGAAAAACACAATAAAGTATTTAAGAGGAAATTGCAACCAGATTCTTAATAGGGCAGGCATTTTTCATTACATACTTTCTGAAACTTCAGTATGCATGTGCACTCCAGGGCTGCAAAAGCAGCAGCAAATTCTCTGCTATCACATCATCTCTCAACTCCAAATAACAGTGCAGATTGCAGTAAGGATATTTTGGCATAGCCTCTCCTAATCTGAAATTTCTATCTTTAAAGATAGTACCAGAGCATTGAAAACTACTTTAATTTACATGATAAGAATGGACATTTTCAGAGCATTCCCAGAATCCAAAGCATGAAACATGAACTTTACCTGCCCTTAAAGGCTTATAGAGTTCATTGGATGGTGTTCTCTGCCAGCGTTCTTTGAATTTTGTCCGCAGGTCACTGTCTGTAGCTTCTTCTTCATCTAATAATCTTAGTGACTATAAGAGTAAAGTGTTACGTGCATCATAAGCCATTCTAAACATGAAATAGTGACAAAATATACAGCTAGTGTAGAAAATAAGGAATGCTTATACATCCTTTATAAATTTAATTTGGCAAATAAAAAACAGGCATGAAAGGCATAAATCACCCAAATTTCTTTAGAATGCTTCTTCCTCTCCTTTAACAATTTTAAAAACAAAATACTTGTAAGGGAACACCCACATGTGACAGCACAGTTTTAGTATGGACTGAACACCTAAATTGTATATTTTTCAAGTGCTCTTAAAGTTACAAGTATTTTGGGTAATTGTGCACTTTTTCTGTTGCCATTTAAAGAGAAGAAAGTTCAGTGGTGGTGTTTTTTAAGAATGTTTCAGAGTTAGTGGCTGCTGAGCCTACCTCATCTAGAATTTCTTTGTTCCTTTGTAGCAGTTCAGGCAGATCTTTGATCAGTTGATCAACAGTCTGAATTCCTCCCTGTTCAATCACAGACTTAGACTTGTTCAAAATAGACTGAGGAACAGTATCACCAGACAGATCTTCGATAGCAGCAGGAAGATTGAGGGAAGCCAACACACTGAAAAAGTCAACATGTTAAACAGCAACCTATTTGTAGTATTAGATGGTTTTATCCTGTAAATAAGACTGCCATCCAAACAATCACACAATTAATTATAATGGAAACAGAGCATAATGTACTCCTGGAGAGAAACTTCAAACTGAAAACTCTAAACTTGTTCCTAGCGTATACCTCACCAAAAATACGTTTCAAAGATTTTAAAAAGCTTAACAAATCCTAGTCTTTTAGCACTTACAAAATATGTCAAATACTTTCAGTAGTAACTATCTGGCAGACAAAGAACCAACTGCCTTGAGTCACATTCCTATCTTTCAGCTTGATATAATTTTTATTATTATTTAAGAAAAAAATTTGTGGGGGAAAAAATATCATGTATTCAGTCACTGGTACAATCACTGGAATGTGAAAATCCTTCTAGACTAGTGGTACTGCAAATTTTTCTGAGGAAGTGTGAGACTCCCAAAAAATGAGGAAAGATTGAAGAAAACTAAATACTATTTGTTCTTAATAAGCTTTCAGTCTTAACATCTGCAGAAAAGTAGTTCTAAATACCCCTGCTATGGCTTACGTTTCCCAGCCTACCATACAGTAATAAAAAACCGCTGCTGTAATCGGGATGTTTGCAGGCTGCAAGGCAACCGGTGTTTATAGGCTGTTCCATAACTCCTCCTGAGAAATTTAACAGAAAGCCATACTTACCCATTTGCCAGATTTGTGGCTTCTCTCATCTGGGCTATTAACCTGTTTACTACATCTGCCTTTCTCTGGTTATAAACACTCACAGATTGCTGAACTTGTAATGGAACCATCTTCTCAAACAGGTCTGCAATTAAAGTAGTATAAAGTACTTAAGTTGCACTGTGAAGGTAAAAGGACACAAACATCCTCAAAGCTCTTTCATACAGGTTGTACTGCAGAGACTGATCTAAACAGTTTAAGATATTCTCCCTCACTCCCCAACATATCTTTAAAAAGAATTAAAAAAAAAAATCTATTTCTATAGGTTTTTACATTAGATTTCAGTTTTTAAGACTGAAATGGAGTTAGAAATTATTTAAAGGCATTACACTTAAAACAACCATAGAATCAAAAATCAGATTCTCCTTAAGGCTTCATTTCTAATTTTACTTCTTTAAAGGAAGAGAAAGAGAAGAGTATCATTTTTCAGAACTTCCCTGTACAGCCAAACTGAAATTTTTCAGCTTTATGGAAGGCCAGTAACTAAGTTAGTTAAGATAGTACAGTTTGATACCTGTCCCTTATATTAGAGTTCCTTGAGAAATTAAAAAGGTTGGTTTAATATAGAAAATAGAGCTGCTGAGAAAATCTGAGAAAAATCTTTGAGAGAAGGACATATTGCAGATAATGATTTTCGACCTGTGGCTTATTCTTCCAGTACTTTTATCATCAAGTAGTAGAACAACAAACTGGAAAAACAGCACTTTCAAAAACACTGCTGTACACTTAATACAAAGTAAACGTTTACTTCGGTGGCCGGGTGTTTATTACACTTATTGTGTGCACTCCACACACTTCACTTACCAGTGAATTTCTGACTGAGGGGAACAACAACTGGAGTAGACTTCACAAGACTGGCTTTCCCAATGGACTCCAAATCTTTCAGGTCAGGTACCCGGTCATGGTAAATGAAGTCGTTGTCTTTTTTGGCAGCTGTAAGCGCTCGGTTGATCTTGTCAACCAGATCTTTAACATTTATATATTCATCATAACGAGACGCCACTGTTTTCACCAAGTCTGCTGCATGCTAAAAAAAGTTTAAAAATACAGTTAAAATTAAAATAGTAACTATTCTTTCTCTCTTTTGTATATACTTAGGAAAATAGATGGGCTTCCCAATTAGCCAAGTAACTACTGCCAATGCATAAGATCAATATTATTATTTCCTTAAGAAAATATTCTCCTCTCTTATGTATCAAAAAGGAAAAAGGGAGATTTTACTAATTAAAATAGTTCAGGGGGGGACACAGGACACAGTAACCAAGTTATTCTCTCACAACAGCCTCACTATGACTCCCCAAAATCTAAAAGAAGTGATCATGAGTTAGAGGCAATAACACTTCATACACTCATTCACAAAAAAGAAAAGCCACCATGTCATTCTCATGTTGTTTCATGAAATTCACAGCTTCCTTTTGCAGGTACTGCAAATTGTTTCTTAAGCCTTGCTCACCTTCATAAAGGAAGAGGCCAGAGTCCTGCTTTTCACATCTGCCACTAACACCCACCCACCTAACCTTGAGCTCAGAAGCTACAGAAATCATGCTGGAATCCTACTGCATATTAAAATAAAAGGTCTGCTGTCTCTTCATTTCTGTCTGCTCAGTCTATCTGGTTTTCCTACATACAATTTACTGCAGGAGAGATCAAAGACAAAACACTGTCCTCTGGTTGTATCTGTGCAATCCTGATCATATTTGTGTCGTGAATGTGTAAAAACAAAATACTAAGCACCAATGTCAGCTGAGGTTTACATAAATTCACAACAACTCAAAAAGTCAAACTTCCTGGGATTGTGAAGTGGAACCTGAGCTAGATTAGAAGTGTATTAAAAGTTTGCTTAGGTTTTTTGCCACTTTCCATTGCGCCATAAATCACACAACAGTAGTTTCGGTTTGATACAACACGGCAGTCTAACTAGCATTTGCCAGAAACAGAAAGTGAGAGGAAAAGAAATAGAGCTGTCCATATATACTTTAATTTGGAGGAATTTACATTAATCTCTCCCCCCCTCCCAATTTAATCCGTCTTTAATCTAGCTTTTACAAAGGGAAATAAAAGGAGATTATTACGTTATAGTAACTGAGTTTTTGAAAAACTCAAAAAGAACACCAAATCTCTAATTTACATTAGTTATGGAAGAAGTATTTTAATAACTGTGGAGAATAGGATTTAAGTTTCCTCTTTCTAAGTGCATTAAATAAGAAGACACAGGATTTTAACTTCTGACTACATGCTGTTCATGAAGCAGTGCTAAAATAACTAATAATGGAGTATTTCCCCTTAGGTTCCACAAAAAAAAACCACAAACAAAAAAACCCAAACCCAAAACCTTTACCCAGCATGAAGGGATATTTCCTGCAACACAACATGAAGAAGAGTCACGAACACAAGCTAATTTAACAATTATCAATGTAACAATGATAGTAAATGTGATATAGCCAGATCTGTCAAGGGCGAGTACTAAAACAAAAGGCATTAATATTCTATTACAGTAGAGTCCGAGAAAAGGAGGTCTGCTAGGCAGATTTGCAACTCAAGAATAAACAACAGATACACTTTTGTCTACCACCTAGTAACATAGTCATAACAACTTGCTATTAGAAGTTCATGGAGGCACTTCATTGTCATACAAGCATCCAAAAAAGTTTGAAGCTCCATCCCGCACCAAGTCAATGTTTTGAAAGTTACCATGATGCATTTATTAACATGATAGTCTTATGCAAGTCTCTCAACTCTCCTGCATATCAGTAAACAGATACTGCACACAGATCCTACAAACTCAAAGTGGCACCTTCCCTCCGCCCCCCCCCCAAGGACCAGGGGACTTGGAGAAAGTAGTTATTTTTAGCCATTTGTTTTCCCCTACTGTACTCAAAACATGAGAAGACCTTATTCATTACACCTACATCTGAGTGCCTCTAGAAACCAGATTAGAGGCAAAATGCTATAAAGACTAAAACTACAACCGCTGTATGTTTTTCAAAAGTGATTCAGATTTAAATTAGGATGCAGGAAAGGAGTTAGGTATAAACCAGGCAAAATTTCAATGTTTAGGGGATTTTTTTTTTTTAATAGCATTACTTAGGAAAACTTGTTAACAAATCTGCCCAAAAAATCCTTAAAATACTTCTTTATAAAAGCTACAGAGATACCTCTCATCTTTGCAACTGCTAATAATTTGATTCATGTGATAAACATGCTCTGCAATTTTTTAATATGTTTCATTCTTAGTTATTTGAGTTTTAGAACTCTGAGCTAGCTTTTCAGGATTTAAAGTTTTCCCATATTTTTCAGAGAAGAAAAAAGCTACCCACCTGTAACCTCCCAATTTCTTCACCAAATTTCTTCTGCTGTTTTGCCAGGATAGACTGATGATATTCTGCATTGGCCTGCATAATGCAGTGCTTTGCAGCCAGAACAGGAAACACCTCCTGGAAATAAAAATACTGACCAGGGGAAAGTCCAACCACATTAACCACCACAGACAACATGGGATGCAGGAAGAAAAAGGAAGAAGAAAAGGAAATTAGAATCACCCAATTAATGGTTTAGATAGGTTAAAACATTAGAGGTAAATGTCAGACACCACGTGACTGCATGGACTGAATTCAGCCTTTTTTTTTATCTGCTATTGCAAAATTGTTAGTGTCCATTATTTTAGATGAACTACAGTTCAAATGCAAGCCATGAAGTCACAACATTTACTTCAAAGATTAGAAATGCATGCATGTATTAGAAACAACAGTTGCAACAACACACCCAAATGCCCCCAAGACAAAGCCAAGACAAAGTGTTCTTAAAAGAAGAGGGGAGAGGGGAAAGACAGGCCTTCTGTTGTTTTGGGTTTTTTTTTTCTATTTAACAAAGCAATTACACTTAAAACAGTAGCAGGCCTATCAAGAAAGTAACTATACAATTATGAACGAAAAGAACAAATAAAGAGGACCGATAACTATTGACATGAAAAGGAAATTAAAAGTAATTTTTACTTTTATATAAATGCACTTATCTTTGCAGGAGTACCAACCAAGACACGAAGAAAACATTATGCTGCAGCCCACAATATATGCATGGTATTTGATCAAGGATTTGGCCTTACTGTTTTATTTGTAAAATCAAGGAGCACTGGAAAACCAGAGTGATGTTTTAAAGACCTCAGTATATAAAGACCTGCTTCTTCACATTTGTGCAAACTCGCTGCCCCGTCCAGAGATGAGGGAAAAAAAACAAGGGTAAATTTGGAAGACAAAGCCGTCTGGGAGGCCTTGCAACTGGAGTTCGATGCATCACGTCAACCCCTGTTTCACACTCCTAAACATGTAACTGTTCTCAGAGCTGGCGTTAACTCATGGAACCAGCAACCTTTATCACATTATTTCAAATAATCAATTGACAGATTACTTTGCAACTGGAACAGGGAGCAGATCTATGGCTTAGAAAGGTCCAGAACAACAAAAGACAAAGCAATGAATTTATCCCATCTTATTGCCTCTCAAATCAATCATAAACATAATACTTAAGTGAGAACTTGGCCCAATCTGTAAAATGACACAGAACACGTGAGAGGAAACATGTGCATACATAGAAGTATGCATAAAATGCATACTCTTACTTTAGTAGGGTAACCCTTACCCATACAGTTTCTATCATTATCGAGATTCTATTCTGCATTAGAAAACAGGGGGGAGGGGGAACAGAACATTACTTGATTTCCACCCCACCCACCAGAGGGAATAGAAATAAAAGCACCTTAGCACCTTTAACAAATACTTTGGCAATTATTTGACTAAGACTGCATATTAGGATATAGGACCAAACATCAACCACTTACATTTATCACTGGTAAAAACATTTTTACTACATTTTCTACTGTATTTTTAGTCAGTCTAGTATATTTCACATTTAATTTGTAACAATAAAGGCCACTGTAAGCTGGAATAGTTATTTCAGAGTTTTGAAACTATTAATGAATGAAAAATAACTGCAAATTAGCAACAAGGGATGCTTCTCAGGGACACTCAAAAAAAGCACTATGGAAGACAATCTCCTACTTAGCTAGATATAAATCTCAAGAGTCCAACAATACCACAAGTAAGTCAAATCTTTTATACTTATAACACTGCACAAAAGATTTTCTACTATCTTATGATTTGAACATAATTGATACATTCAATATACTGGAAACCTGTTCATTTTTAAAGTACTTGTTATACAGCATATATTCAAAGAGCACCAAAAAAGATCCTTCTGCATCTTCCAAAACCAACAGCAGCCAAATGAACAGCCAAGACTAAACTGAGACAATTTACAAGTATAAAGATTGTTTTGGGGTGGAAAAAGAGAAGGCAGGCAGAAGGACAGAGGACACATGCTAACTTCCAGTCATGTTTTTCATTAACAGGTAAGTGAAGAGTACCACTGTACTCATACTGTCAACACCAGTGCAAATTTCACATGAAAACATTGAGACTAGAAGTCAATTAAGCCTCATTAGAAAGTTGTTAGTTTAAAAGACAGATTTAGTAAGGCATTAAGTACTAAGAAGGCATCCCTAAATGCTATCATAAGCATTTCAAGTTCACTTTAAATTAAATGCATTGCAAGTAAACATACTTCATGTAATAAAATTTTACTTTTTTTAAAAACCACCCCGTCTTTTGCCTCCTAGATTCTTCACTGTTTTTCAAATTACAGGTTCACATCCCTTACATGTAGCAATATGTCAGCTTTTCTTGAGGATACATTTTAAGTGTATTTCATCAAGCACATTGTAAATAGTAACAGTTATTCATAATAACAGCAGATCCCAGATTATTTCCATGAAAGTCACTAACCTTGGGCAAAGTATCTTTATATTGACACTGTTTGTAAGCATCACCATAGTAATCTGCAGCTTGATTAGCTAGTTTAGCTATGATACCGTCTTTCATTTTATCTGGTGAGAGGGAGAAAAAATAAAGAACAATTATGATTATCATCAGTTTTTACAAGTGAACAGGTAAATTACTTCATCTTCAAACAGCAACTGCATTCTAAGGATATAGTTTTACATTATAGCTCCAAGGTGGGATCCCATTCTTCTCTCTTGACATCCAGCAGCAGTTTCCAGACTTTCTACTTCAATCATGACACTGAAGGTTCAGTCAGTTGTACAAGAAATCTTTTGGCAGCTGCTGGCATTTATGCAGGATTAAGAGTGATGCTTTACCTCAGACCAATGGCAAGCTGCCAATAAAAGCCGCAGTCCCATTCTAACTCTGACAGCTTGTTCCCACCCCTTCCTTTATGCCAGCACAAGCATTTGTGCAGCCATAGTCAAAGAATTTAGCTGACATCTAGCAAAAATAGTTAATAGACATAAATAACCACAGTTCCTCCAAGTGGTATCCACTACTTGGTATCAGAGTCGCAGAGTCGGTATCCTAGCGGCAGCAGCGTTCCCTGCCTCATGTCCTCACCCCGTTCCTGAAGCCAAAACTGTTAAAATAGGAACATGCTGCATCTATCTCTCTCCTTTTATAATCAATCACCTCTGGCCTGCACTAGCAGTTCAGCCTTCCAAGAGAAGGCAGGCAATCAGTGCAAACATTGGCCGCCTGCTCTAAATAGCTGCCCTTATGAACAAGTATCCTCTGACTCAGGTGATTTTTATGTACTGTCCAACTGATAAGCATGAGCAGTGGGGTATGGGGAGATTAGGAAGTCTGCAGAGTATGCTTAGTTGCCAAAATTAAATCAAAAGAATTCCCAAGTGGTCTGCTCATTCCAGTATATTCACATATCCATCTACAACACTTCAGATGTGAGCTATGATGTAATTTATTTACCTTCTATGAGGTAAATGCATTTAAGCTCCTCACTGTGGAACAGGATTTAGATGGGAGAGAAAGGAAGCTTATGAGATCTACCAGCTAACTTCTTTGTTAGAATGTTTCTCCCCAGTGCAGTAAATATTTAACAAACCCAAACCAAATCTAACTAGACTGTCCTCCTAGCCACACCCAGTGTCTGGTAGTGGCATCTTTCCTCATAGAGCTCGAGCTCTGCAAAAAGACAAGACAAAAATACTGGCATATTAACTACATTTCCATTAACAAAGGACATGTTAGAGGAGACTCACTTGTCCATGCAGACAAATCTTTCATGATCAGACATTTTAGTTTTTACTCACATATCTTTAAAATATTGCAGCTACCAGGCAAGCCTTGAGGTGCAATAGCAAACACATACAGACTTAAAGAAAACATTAAGAAAGGCTCAGAAATTAAAGAACTGATCTGTAGTCATGCAGTAGGGTTAGATTTGACTAACCAATTTGGTTTTTGCCAAACACTTCTGCTTTCTTTCAACCTGTGAATAAACTCAGGTCTATCAGAAATACCATTATCGGCTGGTAAGCTGCTAACCGGACTGTCTCACATGAGACAAACCAAAAAATTGCAAGTAAGGTAAATAGTCAATGCAGCAAGAAGCTAAATTTGAGTTTAGAGATCAAATAAGACAGTAAGGTTAATCATCTGACTGTGGAGGCTGTAGATTTTGCCAGATGTAGAGGTTCTTTTCCCTGGCAGGAAAGGCCCTTTACCAGCTCTTCATAACTTAGAACACTTGTAAGTTTTTGTAGAAGTTGTAATGAGCACATAAATACATGCGCCAAAAATTAAGATATACCTCTTGTAGCTTTCAAAAAGAAGACCTCTTGTGCTTGAGCCAACATAATAAGACTGAGAGTTCCAACTGTGTCTGGAGAGATGTCCACTGTAGGTTCTCGATTCAAGGCTGACAAAACAGTGTCTTTAATGTGTTGGAAAGCACCACTCGCAAACTAAACAAAACAAAAAATATGTTATCATTCATGGTTTCCAACAGACTTTTTTCCTCTTACAAATATAATACATACAACAATTTCAAAACCCCTAGAGCTTTTTTGTTATATGGTCTCCCATTTATTGTTTAGCCACTAAAAACAATTTCTTGTGACTTAATGTTCTCAAAGCCCCTTATATCGAGACATTTATCAAGGCGGACTGTAAGTAAAGGTATATTGGCTACACCTAACAGCATAAGAAGTTTTAATGCATTTCACAAAGAAGAAAGAAAGAGATTAATACTTGTTAAAACTAAAACTCATACTAGCTAGAATAATTAAATCTTAAGCTGAAGGTTATTAGTTACCAACACACTTGAGGGAAGGGGTACGAGGAACTCTATGGAACTAAATCCTTCAAAGCTGCTAACAAATGTGAGCCAAGACCAAGTACTTAGCCAAGCCACCCTTCCAATTAAGAGAGGGAAAATATGTATATGTATTTATCTACGTATATCTATAGCTTTAAAATTGAGAGATACTTATTGGATGTTCTAAGATTAATAATTCTGGATTCCTAGATATAAGCAGGGAGCTTCTGTACCTGATAGTGCTTAGCTGCAGCTTTTAGTCCTTCATCATTATCTAGATTCTGTTCTGCTGCAATCTGGCTTGCCAATGCTCCACAGTTGAACAAAACACAGGTCTTCTCATACCCCAAACTTGCCAGAGCTGCAATCAAGACGGAGAGTTACCCACACTGTTAAGAAAATAAACTTCAATACTCTAGCATCCTACAGATGAGGCCAACACTACTAGTATCTCTACTTCAAGATATCAACAGTGTCAAGCAAAAAAACCACACAACCCAAACAATCATGCTGAACTTTTCAAGTCAAAGTCATCTTCATCCTGAAGGCTTTATTAGTCTAATTTAGTACTTCCACAAAATGTTTCAACATGAGGAACTTCAGAGTGGCATAAAGCGTAAAAGCTGTAGTATGAATACACAAAATCATTTCAAAGTCTTTCTAACCAGAGTGCAGCTTTTTGGCTCCTGAAGCTACAGAAACACTCACATTACTGAAGGATAATCTGCAATATGAACTTCCATGCATTAATCACTTTGCCATAACTACCCAATTACACGTTCCTGCTGTATCTTGAATGCAAGATTAACTACCCTGCTCATGGAGGTCAAAATTTTTTACATGCTCTGTCTTACTATCTACTGAAACGCAGGGAACTTTTCACCTCTCAAAGCTATTGTTTCAGACTGAAAATGCTGACAAGTATCTCGGTTATACATGTACAAAACCAGCCAAGGATTTACGGAATCGGAACTTGTGCTCACTAGACAGCAGTGTGGCCTGTCCAGACCCAGCTCCTGCAGTACCTCACAGTCCCAGCGGATGGAGCCCACCCTTCTAGAAACAGTAACGCCTCAACAGGAACAACTTTGAATCTACTAATTACTATCAAAAGATTATTGGCCATATGCAAGCACTGGAAAAATCTAAAGACTGCAGATATTAGTTTTCCACTATCATTAAGAAGTGTCTAGACACTCCTCTTGGAGAATACAAAAAACTCAACTAGTGAATTTTCAATTTCACAAACCCCGGTACAACTTCTAAGTTATCCTTCAATCATTAAGGTATAGAGAAGTACATTTGTGTCATTTCACTAAGATCCGGGCTCCTTATACAGCCACATATTAATCTAACATACCTCTGAAGTTTTCACGCTAGCACTCCCTGATCTGCACTAAATTTTCAGACAAGCAGCCACAAATCTGACATTTTTCCCATTTTGACTCCTTGAGTGAAAAGTGAGCTACACAGTCACTGTATTTCATCAAGGTAAGTAATCTATCTAGATAACCTCTGTTCTACAGGTTATTTTCCAGATTTTTTTTCTAAAAAGATCTTGTATGACTTACACATCATTCAAAAGACTAAAACAAACACAAGAAAGGAAAGAAAATAGGGCTTTAAAGCTTCTGAAGTGCAAAATTACTTTATATGCAGAATTACTTCATACTCTGGACTGCATCTCAAGTGTGATTTGCTACAGTGAGAACAGCTGTTTAGCAATATAGCTTCTCCTCAGATTCATCTGTTTATAGCTCTACCTATTAACTGAAGCCAACATACTTCAGATTACATGCCATGCTGTGAACTGGGTCACTTTTCAAGCAGCCACAGTATGTGTCAGCTAGCCCTGCAACAGAGACTTGGGATTCAGGGGAAGATGGGAAGAAAACAGTTTGCCACCACAGCAAGAGCCAGAACTCTCCAGTCACACCCCTGCACCTTGGGCCCATGATAACCAAAGGAGTTTTACACCGAATTTCTACCTGGAGACAGGATCGCCTCCTCTTAAGAGGTCAACAGAAATTTTGCTCCCTCGGTAACTGAAAACTTTGCTTTACACTCAGAAACCCCACTGCTAATTCTGATCTGAAATAAAGAGATGCTACACATGCTACAGTTAATCTGAAGAGCAGCATCTGGATAATCTGTGATACAGCACTGTGAAGATAATAAAAGGAGTCTTTAAGTGTTTAATTTCTTTCCACTAAGATCTGCTTTGAAGTTTCAAAATCAAATTTATTCTGTTGCTTGTTAACTGAGCATTACTCACATCTCAGTTAAGAATTTCTTTGATATTTTACATGGACTGTTGCATAAATCTCTGGCCATCTGCCTCACAGATTTAGACTAGTATATAATTAACCTGCAGACAAGCAAGCTTTCTCAAGCTGCTGTAACATCACATTTATTTAAATTCTCAGAGTAACCATCAACATTATGATTAGTGATTCTTTTTCTCACAATTATTTAAAGTCTCTGACGATTATGATTAGTGATTCTTTTTCTCACAATATTTTAAGTCTCTGACAATTCACAGACTATGTTTAAGTCATAAGTAGATATTCTGAGCTTTACTATGAAACAGGTTTGATCATTGTGAAACGCTAGCCCCAAAGAAGACAGAATCAACCAAATTCTGAGAAAAAAAAAACACAGCATCTTCAGAAAGGTCTCCAATTATCAAGAAGGACTTCTTAGAACAGTTAGAAAATAAAGCAAGGAAAGCACCACCCGCTTAGGCATAGAAACACGGTGTATTGTTACACATACAGTTTGCGCAAGCATAACTTTAGCAGGTGTATTCAGAACATGGAAAACCGCAAAGACTTTCAGTAGTTGCTAACAGACAACTAGATAAAGGACACAAAAACTTCCAAAAACCTAAAAAGCAAGCAAGTACTCTAACATTTTTTCAGGCTTTGCCTGAAGCTTCGAAATTGCAGTGGTCATCTTGCAATGCTAGTCATGACCAATACTTAGGTATAAATAGAAACTAAAGAATGATGACACATGACTGAACAGCTCCTCACTTAACTCAGGATTTACTCTTAGTTCCTCTATTGGCAAGTGTTCCAAATCCGTTTAATGATCCTGAATTTGCAGCAGAGAATTGTCCCTATACGACAAAAACAAGTCATAGACTCAAACTCCTTACGTTTGCAGGAAACAAATACAACTTTTTTTACTTTGCAAGCGTTCAAATCTGTATAAAAATATTTTTAAAAGAAGTGATAGCAGAATCATGTCAGGGCACACGCAGATCCTTCCATTCTCTTCAACAAAACGGGATATCAGACTAGGTTACTGAAGCCAGCTACCATCACTCCCCTTCTTCTGGAGGGGACTCACTCACAAGCCTATCTCATGAGGATCTTACTCATTTAGAACAGTAAGAGACGGATTATCAAAAACCTACTCCTGAAATTTAACATTAAATTGAACAATTTTGATTAATGTCAGTTGGGGTTGCTCCCAGAAAAAGTCTGAGGAGCAGACAGCACAACTATTATCAGCCTGCACATCTATTTGTGCCTCTGGAAAACTTCTATAAAATTGAGATTTAATATAAATTCTTTGCATGGTGCCCTTTTATTCATTACCAGTGTTGAAGTGATTAATCTGTTATCAATGGACTCATTTGAAAGCTATGTTGAGAATACTAGAAAGACTATTAACAATTCAACTACATAAAAATATTCTCAAAATTTAATATCATTAATACTTGCACTTTCAGTACATTCACATACCCAATTTGGCAGATCCTCCAAAGAGCGATCCTTTATCAAAAGCATCTTTCCATGTAAATGTTACACAGATCTGAAAGTTGAGAAAAAGAAAGATCTTTATCTCTAAGATTAAATAAGAAATCTTCAGAAAATATCCTAAATTCACATATTTATCCTTTTCTATTTTAATTGCATAAAACATTTAATTCACTTGTAACATTACAAACATTCTGGAAGTTTCAGGAAATCATCGAGAGTTATTTTTAAAAAATTGTATTCTACCTTTTTTCCTTCCTGTTAGTCTGCTCAAAATATTTCAAGCAGACAAGACAGAAGTTCTCAAAATAATCTTTCAGCTCTGCTCATATTCTGCGTGACAGATAAAATTATTTCCAAATGAAGATATTCCTCTCCCAAGAAGTCTGACAGTCTGGTATAGTCACAGTTAAAGGCAACCACCCACCCAGGCAGTTTCCACTGTTCCAATTACTAGGATATTTGGAACTGTTCTGTACCACCAAAATTCACACATTCTTTATGAGTGAATTCAATAGCAGCATTATCAGGAAATGCACTCAGGAAGGAGAATGCAGGTAAAAATAGTGTGTTTTATATTACACTTCCAGCATATATTTCATAGACAATGCAAATACTTCATGGAACTTGAAAGCAGATTCCACAATTTGATTCTTTATTCCACTGATCAAACTAGTTGTAGGCAACTGTTATCAAACCAGAAAAGATAGCAAAATTCCTCATTTCAAAGTGGTTGGAGAAAGTAACTTCAGAAAGAGCACAGTTCTGTTTGATAGTGTATTTTCCTCCAGCAGCAATGCTAGCTCAGGAAGTTCTGGTCCCCAGCTGCTCATTGTTCCTTCCACTGACTACCTCTTCCTTTTGATGGAACAGTTTACAGATCTGCAGAACTTGCTCTTAAAGTTCTCCAGTTTTCCATGTCTCAGGGTTTGCAGATCACCATATTAAAACATTTGCACACTAAAAAGCAAAGTGCGCTTCCTGCCTACAAGTGAATGCCACTACAGGCAAAACTCAAATCAGTTTGAACTCCATTAAAACTATTCCCTTTTAACCTGTAAGTTGGAACGAAATTTTTTCTTTTAATCACAACGTTACCATTTAAATATGATTTGATTAGGAAAGAAATGTAAATTCTGTCCTATTTGTAAATGCATCCAAAAAAACCCTACATCTTTTTCCATCAAAACATAGGAGCCTAAAGATCTATGCCAGTCTCCACCTGAGGAAGACTTCAACAGGCAAGAGTTAAGCTGAATTTCTCCTTAGAGACAAGATTCTAAAGAAATATGGTAGAAAAAACAACTTTGTGATCACCATATCTATATAAAAATTATGTCATTTGTAGATCCAGAGGCAGGAATAAAGTGGTAAGCTCTTAAGTGGCTTATCCTGTTAGCTGTTGTGAATGAAACACCTGTTCTACGTCAAAAAACAAAGAACATATTCCATCCATTACTAAAGGTTTTCCCATAGAAATTACATTTCAAAAAGCCTTCAGAACATAGTATGAAATAGACTTCTCAGAAAAAGGGCAGTTGAAGAGGAATCAGCACAGCACAACTCTTTCTGACCTAGATCACAGTGACAATTAGCCAAAGTCAAAACGTTTCTGAATCTATAAAATGAAGGCAATTATGGCCACTAGAGGTGAAGTTTCAGAGACTATATGTGAGCACCGACTAGAAAATAAACAGATATTAGGAAAATAAGGCTCAGAAAGACTAAACACCTTGCCCAAGAGAAGTACTGTTTAGTGGATTCGGTACAGGCTTGGAAGTCAGACTTTGTAGGTGCCATGATTCAGTTTAATGGTTTGATCAGTCTTCTTACCTGATTTTCAGAGAACGGAAACTTTGGTTCAATTGAACACAGCTGATCATAGTATCTACAAAAAAAAGGAAGCAACACCTATTAGATAGCAAAAAAAAAAGGAAGCAAGAGCTATTAGATACATCAAACAAAGGGTTTTGTTTCTTACACTGAAATGCAAGGACAAAGGTGCAAAAATCACACACATAAATAAGTTGTGAAGGTTGTTCGTAACTATGGCGGATTTGCAGGACAGGCAGAAATTCAGCCTAAAGGGATTTTTTCAGTCAAGGAACAAGTTCAGTAGGAGGTAGTCTTCCACATATAATGTGGAAACCCTATCTCAGTCAGAAGTAGAAGAGTATCACAGATGAAGCCGACCCACTTCACTTTCTGATCAAAGGTGGATTAGAAAAGACTGTCATGCAAAGGAGTCCCTGTATACATACAGGAAGACACAAAGTACATTAGACATTAAGTCATGCTGCAAAAGTAAATCAAGTATAGCATTTAACGTAATATTAACAAGCTACACTGCACTCTCTTGATCTGAACATTATATCCCACTCCCCTGCAATTTCTGACTCACCTGTTTAAACTTCAATATCTTTGAAATAGATGCCATTTGCCTCGCACAGCATCAACTGGAGAGCCTAATCCTTGATAAAATTCTTTCGTTGTAAGCTTCGTTTTTATTAGCATATACTGTAGCAGTCACAGTAAATTAAAACCAAAAGTTTCTCTGTGCCAATATTTTGTCTACTCGCAGTGGAAGATGTTTAGGAAAGAATGCCAGAAAGATAATACAGCATAGTCCCTCACACAATCTATTCAGGCAACAGTTAGCAATTCAAATTTTTCCTGAGTTGTGCCCTACACCTGCACCACTTGTTAAACACAAGAGGCTGGATGCAGAGCTGAAAACATTTCAATTGCCAACTGCTGAGAATACATCACATGTGAAGCCCGTTTCCTATACTCTTCCTGTAGTACCTGCCGTACGGGCATACACCCAACATTGTATTGGTCAAATTCTTTTTTTTAACAATTTATATTCCCAATATACAAACCACCTTGTAGTAATGAGTCTCACAGTCTGTGAAACAAGGTTGACATCATTCCTGTTTCCTTACATCATTAAATATTAATCACTATTGATCTAAGCATGAAGCAGGTGTACAAGGCCTATGTTCTGCAGGCAAAAAATGTTCATTTAAAAATTTAAAAAGCATTTTTTGAAGTCGTACAGAACAATAAAAATAGCATTAGTATATTCTTCAGTGAATTATACCTGTCAAAGTATATAATACTACAGGTTTCTGACTTCAATTGAGCCACTGCAATTTAAGACACAACATACTAAATCATATCAAAAGCTGCAATGATCTGCAACTGTAACCCAGCAGGACTTCCACAAATAACTGAGTTGAAAGAAATCACTCCTAAGGTAAAAAAAAGTCTGCAGATATTTACTGTGACAGCAGTTTAATCAAGATTAATTTTCACTTTTAACAACTTACAAGTATGTGAAAGGTATAGTTAAAAAAAACCACCCTAGCACTGAAGATCACTGCAACCAATACATTTAAATGTACTTCCTTCATTGCCTTCAGCCAATCTCAACACAGTGATTTTCCCACAGTATCACAAAGAAAATGAGACTTCCCATGCTGTCTCCTCCAGCCTCAATTTAATTTGTTAAACAAAAGCCACCAATAAAGCCAAGTTGTCTTCCCACGTTCCAGGATTACCCTGTCCTAATCTGCCATGAGGGTAGAGTCAAGAAGCAAAGCTTGTTCAATGTCCTTGTGAAGTCAGGTGAGCCTAAACATTGGCTGTTTGCAAACAGACTATTCCTTGTATACCAACAGAATCAAAGAAAAATAAAATAAGCCAAGGAGGTGTATGTTCCTCCCAAATATGCACATTGTTGCATTTAACATCAATGAATACCAACAAGACAGGCTTTTTGGCTGGTTGGTTTTAAATAGTAATCGAAGTTCTAAACTTGTTTTCTTTACTATTTAAAGCATGTGATGTAATGTCTTTTTATTGAAGAATTTGAAATTCTCAAGATTTAAGAGCTCTTTAAAACTCTGCACACCAAAAAGTCAAATTGTTGATTTTGTTTAGCAGTAGCTAAACATATATATAATGGTATACATAAACTAAACATATATAAAAATGGTAAATGAAGACTTAAACTACAGAACAGCATAAAACTAGCAGTACAAAGACAGAAAATAAGTATCAAAGGAAAGGCCACATCTGATGCACAAGTCAGTTACACATCAATGGATGAGGGTAAACATAAAGCTGTTATATAAAACAAAATTTACAGTAATCCAACTATCAAGTCACAAAGAACAGAAGTTGCCACGCAACACAGATGAGCGTTGTGTGTTCGGTTGTGCCAGAGTGCTGAACTACAGAAAACCAAGCGAACGTACCAACTGCCTGAGTTCCAACTACAGCAGCAAGAGGGAGGGCAGATGTCTGCAACACAGATCTAGCTCCTGAAGTACAGCTATCTTACACCAAAATAGGCATTACACACTCTTAAATGCTAGTAAAAAGGAGTTACAGCAGGCAAATGAGTTGGAAGTCAAGGTTTAAATTAAAATTTTAATTAAGATACATGTACTGCATTAAGAATCTCAAATCCTGTTCCTCCTTCAAAGGATCATGAAGAAAAATCTCCTTCAAAAAGAACAGAAAAGAGACGAAGATCTCCCTTCGCTCTTCTAGAAAAGAACTGAAGTCCTGAACTCACAGCTGGAAACCAGAACTGCAAGTTTCAGCCCTCAGAGAATTTGACCATTCAAAATAAAACCACCACCACCCTCTTTCCTCCACCCCCCCCCTTTTTTTTTTTTTGAAGAACTGCAAGAGTTGTTAGCAAAATTAAGCCAATTAAACTTGCACCACCACCCCATCCCTCCAGAAAAAGGAAATTAAGTCCAGGCTATCCTTAATATTAAGAGAGGAAGCAAGGAACCCCTTGAAGCTATAATTATACTCTGAAGAAAAAAAAAACACAACACACCACCCCTAAATCAAATCTGCTATGACAGAACTTAAGGGGAAACATCTGTACCAAGCTTACCTACATCACCTTCAGAGCACTCAGACTACTCTCACAAACAAAGAAAGCTTGGAAGCAGGCTGAGGTCCTTCCCAGTTACCCAGTGAAAAGGGGCACAGTGTATCTCAAATACTTCTCCAAGAGAAGCATTTACATTCGTCAGCTGAACAACAGCGCACCGTGCACTTTCAAAGCTTTACTGGTCAGTGTTTGCCTAGGAAATGAGGCTGCGACTGAGTTAATATCTTCCATAAAAGAAAAAATTCTGCAGTAACTACTCAGCAAAACAAAGCTTCTAAAGATTACAAAACCGTGGGCAAATCCTAGATTAATTAGTAGAAGATTAAATCCTCATTTCTTAACAGATAAATGGTCTACAATGCTCTAGTAGGTATTATGGTCTATAAAAAGCTGCAAAGAAGTAAACCTACACAAAAGGTATCCACATTGTAATTAGCTCTTCCAACCCTACTCCACTAACAAACCAGTTTTAAACGCCAACTTCAATGAAATTCTTGCTAAAGCTGTTGCTTAAACATATGCCCGAGTACAACTCTGAAATAGCAACAGGAAAATACTGGAAGTCAGAGAGGTAAGGGAATTTTCATAAGAAACGCCAGGCACTCAGACGCTTGTGCTCTTTCAATCATAAGCTCAGCTGGATACTTCAAATTTCTGAGTGTGCAGACAGTCTGACTTTTTAAAGTAACTGCACCTTGTAGAATATTACCAGAATATACACCAGAATATTCTTACAGAATAAGAACAAACTTATTTTCCAGCAACTGTAATAAATACAAATGGTCAGACAGGGACAAACGACTCATAACTTGTTAGAGATAAGGAAAACATACATCCGATTGTATTATTTTCTCTGATTTACAGTTCATTCAGACCTTCATCTTATCTCACTTCCACTGTAAAGGGAACAAATATTCTCAAACGATGCAATTTAAGATGCAGGTGTTTTATGAGATGATGCCTTAGAACAGCTTCTGTGTGGCAGGGACACCGCTGCTTGTTCACACATCAGGTGGCACCGCTGCGGAGCCACATTCAACCCCTCAACTACTGCAACAGCACCCGGGCCAGCTGAAGTCACCTGCTGATCACTGACAACAGCAGAGAACAGATCATTGTACACAGAATTGACTCAAAAGGAAAAGTGGTAATTATGCACTTGCAAGTGGTTTCTCTTCATTATTCCAAGAGAAAGCCTGAAGTGAAGTTACACACTATGGCTTGAACTAATTTAATGGCACTAAACAAGGGAGGTCTTGCCTAGCCCCTTGGCTTTCAACACCACCGCTTTTATCCTCTTCTCCACCAGCTCTGATGTTCATCTGACCTTCCCCCGAACTCATTCAAGTCGTTCACCTGTCAGAAAGCCATGTACACCTCTTGCCTTCCAGAAACGACATAAGAGAACGACCAGAACCAAAGAGAGGCCTTTCTCCTTTTGGCAATACAGAGCCATTAGGAAAGAGTCAAGTCCTAACACATGGTTGAGCCAAACAGAGATTTCGGATAGAAACTAATCACAAACCTGACTGGCACCGTCAAAAAAGGAAGCTCAATCCTGGTGTTCAAGAGAAGATAACAACATGCCTTTCAATTCGGCTAGCAGAGTTCCTTGTTCAGTTCGTAGATGTTCATTATTTCCCTGACCTTCAAAAGGCATATACAGTAGTACCATCAAAAGCATTCGCAGTAATAAACAGGAATAGAACAGGCAAGTACAAAGATACTGTACAACATGATCAGTACAGTCATAGCTTTTATAGCCCAAACAGCCAGTGAAGGGTTGATAAGCCCAAAAAAATCAGTAACTCGTTTTACATATCTTGCCTTCTTTTTAATAAGTCACTTGTTTCTTTTCCATTCCTCTCCATTTTTTTAATTTATAAATAAGAAATTCTAGTGAACATCAAATGTATTTATACTTGTTCATGATATTACAGAAATGTGTCATGTCTACCAGTATCATTTCC